CTAATAGCTTAACTAGTTTTTTTACATTTATTAAATATATAGTTTTATACATACTTTTAGTGCTAGGCGTGTTTTTAAAAAAAAGTAAACTAGTTTAAATCTATTAGCGCATTTAGCGTTATAGTGTTATTTATAGTTATTATATAAGTAGGTTTACTATATATTATCTTTAATTTTTTTATTTTTTTTTAAGTTAAAGTTAAGGTAATTCTACATACAGCAATAGTTTGCAACAAAAAATTTGCTAAAAAAACAAGCAATAACTAAAAAGACATATTATCTTTAATATATTATTAGTTTATTATAATTTCTATTTTTATAGTTTATTCTAGTGTTTTGCCTAAAAAATTAAAACTAAGTCTTTTATTAAATAAGTAAATAAAATAAAAGTTATTATAGCACTTTATTTAATTATATTTATAAATCTTATATAGATTGTTCTTTAAGTAGTAAAAAGCATTTTTATTTAACTTATATATTTAGTAAAAGTTATACATGTAAGCGCTAAAGTATAGTTATTTATACTTTTACTTTTATAAGTTAATGTTGTATATAAGTTAACGCATAAATAGTAGTTTAAGTTTTTTAGTTTTTTTATAATTTTTTTTATACTTTTAACAATTTTACTAGTATTTAAAAATATATTATATATAGTTGTCTCTTTATAAGTTTAAGACTTTCTTTTCAAGTTAGTTTTTTTTTTAATTGCTATCTGCTGTTTTATTTAGCAGATTTAGTTTTTTAATTTATTTAGTAAGTTTATTATTATTATATTTAATAGATCTTTTTAAGCTATTTAGTTTTTTTAGAAATAAAAATTTCTCCTTTAAGTCTAATTCAAATTTTTATAAATCTTTTATAATATATATTTATTTAGCTTTTAAGAGTGCGTAGGTCTTTAACGTAAAATTTTTAGTCTAAAACTATTATATTAGATGTAGTTATTACTTTTTTTATTAATTATTTCTACTTTTTATAGTAGCTTATTAAGCATTTTATTTTACTTAATATTTTTTAAGTAGTAGTACATCTTTATAATGCTTAAAACTACATATATTTTTTATAGTAAAGGTTAAGTTGTCTAGCTTTAACGCTAATAAAAGTGTTATTATTTATATTAAAAGTTAGAGTAGACTAGCTAGTAGTACTAAAGCTAAATATTTTAAAAGTATTTATAATGTTAAGGTTTTAAAGATTTCTAGTTAAGTTTTATAAATAACTAGTAGGTAACACTAAAGTAATAAAAGTAGAAGTATAAAGTAATAACTAAATTATATTTTTAAAAAGTAGGTTATAACTTAAAGTAAATATAAAAAGCTATAAGGGCTTTTTGCCTACTAATTATATATATATAGTTAAAATAGTTAATTACTTTAATTAGTCTAATTAGTACTACTAATTAAGCTAATTACTAATTATATTATAGAATTTTTTATTACGTAATAGCTAATGCAGCGTAGCCTTGTAATTTCTAAAACACTTATAGTAAGTAAAGGTAATTTACTTTAGTATTATAAGAAGCTTATTTCTAACACTTAAAGTGTCTATGTTATAATTTTAACATTTATATACTTTTATATTTATTATACTTTTTATAATTTTTTAATATTAGCTATTTTACGCTATTAAAGTATAAGTATAGTAACTAAATATTAGCTTTAGCGTGTAACTATATATACTTTATTAATTTAAAATCTTTTTTTTAAGTATTTAAGCTAGCTTTTAAATAAGCTATAATAATAAAAAATATTAAAGTAAGCTTTAAAGGCGCTAGACTAGTTTTATATAACTTAAAAGCTATTATATTAAAGCTTAATATAAAGTTGTAAACTTTAAAATAATTACTATTAAAGTAAAGTATATAAAAAGCATAGACACTACGTAATGCTTATAAAATTAAAGTATAAGCTATACTTATTTAAAAAAAATTTTAAAACTATTTTAAGTTTTTTCTAAGCTTATTAAATAAAAAGATTTACTAGCTAAGTAAAGGCGCGCAGTAAATTATATATAATATAATATTATTATAAAGAAAATAAGCGCGCATGTAAAGCGTAATTAATAAGCTTATAAAGTATTAATTAAAAAAATAAAAGTATATTTAAATAAAAAAGACTTTAGCTATAAAAAAAGTATAAAACTAAATTACTAAAAGAAAAAGTAAAAAGTATAATACTAATAAAGAGCTTATACTTAAAGTATATAGTATAAAGCACTATAAGTGTTATAGTAAAAAAAAATATAACTTTTATACTTATAAAGTAAAAATAGTAGATTTTAAAAATAGTAATAAGTTTAAAAAATAAATTAGTTTACTATAATTTTTAATTAATAGTATTACGTGTTTATAATAGTTATGCGTAAGTAGTGCGCTAGTTAAGCATTAGTAACTTGCTTAAGTTAGTAACTTACTTATAAAACATGTTAATTTTAGTTAGCTATATATAAATAAAAAGCTATAATAATTAAAATATTTTAATACCTATTATAACTACGCTTTATAGCTTATATATAAATATAAAGCTACTTATTTAGTATATAGCTAAAGTTAATTTAGCTATAAAAAATATAAGCTAATATAAGCTACATAATATAATACTATTGTTAGGTGTAGTTATAAGTAATAGAAAATGCTTTATACTATAAGTAGATAGTAAAAAATAACTTAATAAGTATAATAAAACTTTAAATAATTTTTTTAATAATCTTTTTAAAGCTTTTTATGCGCCTTAAATATACTTATTAAGTAAAGTAAGTATAGTATATATAAGCTTTAGCACTATTTAAGCTTATAAAATACTAAATTTCTGCTAGCTTTATTATAACTATATACTTAAGCTATACTTAAAAGTGCTTTAGCTTATTATAATAATAGCTTAACTTATTATTAGCTATATTTAAGTTAAGCTTTAATTTAGCTATACTTAACTTAAGTGCTATTTAGTAACTACTTAGCTTTTTAATAAAAACTACTTTATATACTACTTTTAAATATATATATAAAATATTAATTTATTTTTTACTTATATTTAAAATAGTATAAATACTTATAATAATTTTAAAACGCTACTTAAGTACTTACTATTAACTATAAGTATAAAAACTATAAATAGTTTAACTATAATTAAATAGTTTTAATTATTTTACTATATAAAATTTATAAAAACTTAGTTATTTATTTTAGTACTTTTATTTTTCTATAATTTATTTATTAAGCTAATATACAGCTATATTAAAGCTATACTATGCTTGTGTAATTATAATATTAAGTATACTTACTAACTTATAATTTTATTCATTTATTTTAAGTTAAAGTTAAGGTAATTCTATACACAGCAATAGATAAAAAGAATAAATAAACTAAAATAATAAGTAATAACTAAAAGAATATTATAAATTTATATTTAGCTAATACTATATAAAGTAGATACTAAAGTAATATTACTTTTTTTTTTAAAAATAAAGTTAAAGTAATTCTACACACAGCAAAAAGTTATAATAATAAATAAACTAAAAAAATAAGCAATAACTAAAAAGACTTGTAATTTTTACTTTTACTTAAAAAAAATTAAAAAGCACCTTTTAGTACTAGTTTAAATTTAAATAGCTTAAAGCTTATTCTAATTAAGTACTAGTGCTAAAAAACTAAAACTTTTCTACTATAAGAGACTTTCTTAATACTATAACTATTATTTACTAAATAGTAATAAAAACTATAACTATTATTAGTTTTAATAAGATAAAAATCTTTATTTTAAAACTTATAATAATACTACTACTTTTTACGCGCTTAAGCTTAAGTATAAAACTTATAAAAACTTTTTTAAGTAAGTTACTTAAGATTTTAATACTTTACTTATAACTACTTAAAAATATTAAATATTAAACTACGCTACGCTACAACAAAACTACTTAATAATTAATAAAAAATTATTAAAAAAGCTAATAATAAAACTATATTTTAAAATTTTATTTTTAATATTTTTAACTTAGTACTGCTTATTAATACGCGCAGAAATAACTACAATTAATTATTTTGGTTATTGCTCATTTCTTAGTTTATTTTATTGCTGTAAACCTATTACTATGTGTAAGATTACTTAAACTCTAACTTAGAATAAATAAATAAATAAAAAATAACTACTATTACTTAATACTTTTGTCAGATATCACAGTGATTTATAGTGATAACTATCATGATGGAAATTGATGATTAATTATTTGTCTCTTTAGACCTTATAACTTTGCTATACCCCCCCCCCCCCCCCTTCTTTACTCTAGGTGGGGAGCTAGTGTGCATAGGTGCACACCTATTTATTGCTTCTTATTTAATACACCTCTTTAGTTTAGCTAACCTAGGCAATTCTATAGTAACTTTTAATAATTCTATAGTGTTCTAGATTAGTTAAGCTAAAAACAACTTACTTAATTAGGTCTCTTTTATAGATAGGTTAAGAGCTTTCTTTATTTTGTAGTTCTCTACTATTTCTAATCTAAGTTAAAATAAAAAGGGAGCCTATTTATTTAGTGCTAATGCCTTAGTAAGTCTATTAGCAATTATTTTGCTAGTTAGATAGTAGATTATAGTAATTTTACTATAATTTACTGCTTGCCTTAGCTAGTAATTATAGATATCTACATAGCTGTTACGAACCTAAGAATGGGGATGCACAGGTTATGAAGGAAGGTAATTACAAGAACACTCACGGTCAGCAAACAGGACACTACGTATGAACCAATAGACTTCGCCACCCCGCACGTCACGTGGTCCCACGAGTCTTGGCGGAAAGTTGCTGTGGGACAAGTCACGTGTGTCCCACAGGGTCCTACGAGATCCCACGATATCCCATCTATGAAACCCTATGGGACATATGGGAACTATGGGACAAAATATGTATATAGTCAGTAGACAAGAAGACCTTATGGTTCTTGTATTCACTCTAAGTTACAACCCACTTCTTGGAAATACAATCTAGTTGTTACTTTATACTTCTACCTTTGTTACTTCAGTGTTACCCGCTAGTCATCCGCGAAACCCAACCAGAGTTCTCCAAGATCTCAACATTGTGAATACCCTTAAGATGTCTAGCTTCAGTACCACTGACCAGCCTACCCTTACTCCCGATATGGACAACGACACCCCTGTCAGCATCAAGACCAAACAACCTGACACCTACTATGGGGAACGTGTCAAGCTTGAGGAATGGATCCTGCAACTCGAGTTGCTTTTCAAGTTCAATGAAAAGATCGAGAACGACGACAAGGCCACCTACGCTGCGACTTTTATGCGAGGTGATGCCCATAAATGGATCGCGCCTCAGCTCACCAAATATCTGGACGACGATATCGAAGACGACGAAAACACCACTCTGTTCGAAAACTGGGGAGTGTTTAAGACCAAGCTCCGCCAGGTCTTCGGAATATCCAACGAGAAAAATAAGGCAGTGCGTGAAATTCAACGCGTCAAACAGTTCAAGTCTGCCGCCGACTATGCTGCGAAGTTCCAACACTACGCAGTCCAGACTGACTGGGATGACAACGCACTCATGGCACTGTATCGCCAAGGACTCAAACCCAAGGTCAAGGAAGAACTCATGAGGTCTGGTGTGGTTATGGACACACTAGAACGACTCTACGAGGAAACTATCCGCATTGACAATGACTTGTTTGAGTTAGCCGAAGAAATGAAAGGGATCCACGGTTATAAATCTGCCTACGGAAGGACTCAGGAAGCTGTTCGCTATTTTCCCCAGGGAAGAGGCCGCAGCGTCCCTGTTCGACCCAGGGTCAGATACACCGAGGAAATGGACTGGACACGTGACGTTAATGCAACGTTTCCATCCAAGGCTGGAGATAACAATGGAAGAAAGAAGTATGACAAGAAGAGCAAGGACCCTAAGGGGATAACCTGCTACGGATGTGGTAAAACCGGCCACATAGCTAGGAACTGTCGATCAAAGAACAAGGTCACACGATTTGTCAACGTAACGACCAAGTCTTCATGCCCCGGGGGGGATGAAGGCGAATCGGAATGGGAAATCCTAGAACCCACGCCGGGTGAAGGACGACTCATGGTGGATGACCCAGATTCGGAAAGCGGTCCCGAGCATCATGAAGATGCACCACCACCTAAGAAACGTCGAGCGGAACGGAACGCCCGACAAGCTGCTGCAAGAAGCAGGAATGATCGACGAGAGAAGCGACGTCTACGTCTGACACAGCAGTTCTGGGCTGAAAATCCTACGTCAAGGAACTATGCACCACCAGAAGCTAAACAGATGTACATTACGAAGAATCCACGGGGATTCGGATCAGACTCGGAAAAGGAGTACTTATCTCCTGAGGAACCCGATAGCCCGAGAGGATCCATCGAATACGATGATGACGAACTCGCTAAACAAATTGAAGAACTGGATCTGCCGAACGAAACAGCAGATGGTAATTGGAAAACGAATCAAACCAAAACAGAAGTCTTAGACCTATGGGGAGACAACTACGTACAACATGTCTCAGAACACTGGCAAGATTGTTGGAAGTACGAGGAGGACAGCAAGAAAACCAAGAAACCTGAACTGCCATCCATGCGTCAACCTATGTACGACGTTGACTCACGAAACCAGAATCATGGACGACTACATTTCAGTGCTTGCATGTACGACCTTTGCTGGACACACCAGTCAGACAAAGGTGCTTCCTATTATCCAAAAAACAATCTGCACAAAATCTGTGGATACAATTGGACGAAGTGTCACAACGACTTCTGTCCCATCCACCTGTTCGATAAGAGACTTAGTTCAAACTTTCCAGGCAAGACACCAAAGCAAACAGTGGATATGCAGATCGCAATAAACCGACAATGCATCGGAGATAACACATGGCAAACCTGCTTATGCGATGATTGCGAACGCCACTATGACGCTAAATGCGCCAACGGATTCAAACCAGTTCATTCTTTTTTAGGGACACGCCTAGCACCAGGAATACATACAGAACCGTATGTTCAACGAACTCAGAGAAACTAGTTAGGCTATCGGTTGAGCTTAACGGACACCATTTCAGAGCACTACTCGATACCGGTTCTTCAGTCAATCTCGTGTCAAGCCACGTGGTTAAGAAAGCGGGACTTTCTACTCGAGGAAAACATGAGCAGTACGGTATTCGAGCAGTCACCGGGGAGCGCTTACCCAATGAAACTTGGGTCGATAAGGAAACTAACCCAACGTTTATGGAAATTGGTGGACACCGGGAAGAGATCATCCTAGACGTTTTGAAGATGGCCACCTTCGACGTCGTACTAGGACTCCCCTGGTTACGAAAGCATAATCCAGTGACGGATTGGTCCAAAGGGACACTTTCGTTTGCGAACTGCAAATGTGCACGCAGTTCAAAGCCTACGCACCGCGCGCCGCGAGTGGTAGATGAGAGGAGCGTTAACGCAACAACGCCATCGCCTAAGATACGCCCAGAGAGAGCGGTCGACTCCTTAGACACTGGTTGGGTACCAGGTCACGAGAAGAGAGTTAAGGAGACCAGCACAACTCCTGAAGTCCCTGTACAGTATCGGAAGTACAAAGCACTATTCGAGGACTTAGAACCTGAGCTTGAATTACCTAAGCATCAGCCCTGGGATTGCGAAATAATCCTCAAGGATGAATCGAAACTGCCGATTGACCCATTGCGCCCGAAATCCGAATCGGAGCTAGCAGCTATACGAGATTACATCAAAGAACGACTGGCTAAACGACATATCCGAGAATCGGAGTCGCCAGTAGCACACGAGACCCTCTTTGTAAATAAAAAGAATGGGAAACTACGAATGTGTGTAGACTTCCGCAAGACCAACGACAACACGGTAAAGAATAGGTATCCATTACCTAATATTGAAGAATTACAACATCGACTTGCGAAGGCCAAAATCTTCACAGCTCTGGACCTTAGAGACGGGTACCATCTGGTACGAATGAAGAAAGGCGAAGAATGGAAAACCGCATTCCGCACTCGTTATGGACATTACGAATATACGGTTATGCCTTTTGGACTCACCAATGCACCAGCAACGTTTCAGGCACTTGTGAACAACGTCCTTAGAGATCAACTAGACATTACCGTCATAGCGTACCTAGATGACATTCTAGTGTTCTCAGAGAACGAACACGAACACCAGAAACATGTGCATTGGGTGCTCCAAAAGTTACAAGAAGCAAACCTACGAGTACGACCAGAGAAATGCGAGTTTCACGCGAAACAAGTCAAGTTCCTAGGATTTGTTATCCGGGAAGGAGAAATCGAGCAAGACCCAGAGAAAGTCAAAGTTGTCAAAGAATGGCCCACACCAAAGAACATCAAAGAAGTACAATCGTTCATGGGATTCTGCAACTTCAACAGAAGATTTATCCAGGACTTCTCTAGGATCTCGATTCCACTCACACGACTTACGAGGAAGGAGGAAACCTTCCGCTGGAACGAAGAAGAAGACGACGCATTCCGGAAACTTCGGGAAGCATGCGCTTCTGCTCCAGTACTAATCATGTTCCAATCAGGAAAACCAATGAGAATGGAGACCGACGCTTCGGATCTCGCATTAGGAGCATGCATCACACAAGAAAAAGATGGAAAATGGCACCCTATTGCTTACTACTCAAGAAAGTTCACGTCAACGGAAGAACGCTACGATGTCTATGATAAAGAATTAATGGCTATTGTCGATTCAATTCAGCATTGGAGAATTTACTGCGAAAGTTGTTCTGAACTATCAATTTTCACGGACCACAAGAACCTTGTCACCTTCACGACCACAAAGGACCTTAATCGACGACAAGTCCGATGGGCCGAGAAATTAGGACAATACCAGTTCAAGATCATACACACTCCAGGAAAAGATAACGGAAGAGCTGACGCTCTCAGCCGACGAACGGACATCGCAGGCGAGAAAACGGAAGTACGACAAGCGATACTTAAGACAAACCAGGACGGAACCATAGGACCAAGTCATTTCCAGGAAGTCAATGTTACCATGCAAATTACCAACGATGTACCAGAAGAATGGCAAGAACGCATCATACGCCAACATCACGACGACCCACTATACGGACATCCAGGAATTAAACGAACCATGGAACATATACGAAGAAACTACGACTTCACGAACATGAAAGAGAAAGTCACACAGTACATTCAGGCTTGCAACGAATGTAAGAAGAATAAACATGATACACACGCAAAGTACGGAAAAATGCAACCAATTCCGGTGCCTACGACACCATGGGAAGATATTGCTATGGACTTCGTAACAGGATTCCCTGCATCACAGGACCCTGTCACAAGAGTGTGGTACAATTCGATACTTGTGATCGTGGATAGATTCACTAAGTACGCACTTATGATTCCATTCCATAAGAACTACTCAGCCGAGCAGTTAGGACATATTATCCTAGATAAGTTAGTACGAAACTACGGGATACCAAAGACAATCATCAGCGACAGAGACAAGCTCTTTACCTCCAATTACTGGACGACACTGATGGCAACAATCGGAACGAAACGAAAGCTATCAACAGCTTACCATCCGGAAACAGACGGACAAACAGAACGTACGAATCAAACCATGATTACGTACCTACGGCTATACAGCAACCAGAACCAGGACAACTGGATTTCCTTATTGCCTATGGCACAGTTGGTATACAACAACAAGTTATCAGAAACAACAGGCGAAACACCATACTTCGCAAACCACGGAAGACATCCAAATCTCTTTGAAAAAACATTTCCAACAATAAAAACACAGAAAGCGTTAGAAAACGCAGAACAATACAAGGAGACATACAAAAAACTGGAAGAAAACATGCGAAAAGCACAACAACAATCAATCTCATATGTTAACAAGAAAAGAAAAATGGCACCTCAGCTAAAAAGGGGGGATAGAGTATATTTGCGAACAAAAAATCTTCGGACAAAACGACCAAGCAAAAAGTTGGACCACGTCAAAGTCGGACCATTTTTAATTGATGCTGTTGTCAGCCCAGTTAACTACCGACTCCAACTCCCAGAAGATGCAAAAATACACCCAGTGTTCCACATAGCGCTGCTGGAACCTGCGAACCCCGGAACGCCACTACAAAATACATTCCACTACGAAACAGAAGAAGAAAACGAATTCGAAGTCGAAAGAATACTACAATGCAAGTTAGACCGCGGAAGGAAAGAATATTTGGTAAAATGGAAGGGATACCCACACGAGGACAACAGTTGGGAACCAGAGGCACACCTGGCGAACTGTCAGCAAAAAATCAAACAATACAACAGGAAAAGGAGACCGCCGCTGATCCAGAACAACTAACCTCAAGAAGCCAGTACGGCCTCGTCAAATAACGGATCACCCTCCAAAACAGAGGGCATGTACGAACTCCAGTCCAGAGCCAGGGTACCAGGCATCAACCCATCCTCAAGGTTGCCCACATCCTTGTTGAGTCCTTCCAACGCCTCAAGAGCTTCAATTTCTTCAACGAATTTTCCTGAGTCATCCATCAGTTGCTGCTCACGACGCTTAAGTCTTTTCTTCTGTTTACGAAGACGGTCCTTCTTCGCTCGCGCCGCAACCAGGGCCTCCAACGCTGCTGCCTCGGCTGCGTCCGCTTCTGACTCCTGTTGCTCGAGACGCAACAGTTCCCGGTCCAGTTTTTCGAAGTTGGGAGGCGGAACCTCCACAGGAACACACGACGTTACGCCATTGCGATAGCAATTCCCACACTCCTTCTTCAAAGAAGACATGCGACACTCCAAACCCTTTTTCGAACAATATTGACAAGATACCATGGCGATTTGTCCAACAGCGTTTATCCGATCCCCAGTGGCGTGACGATGAGCGGTGCTTTTGGAAACCATGAGGTCAGTTCATGAGGACAAGAACTTGGAAGAAGGGGGTAGTGTTACGAACCTAAGAATGGGGATGCACAGGTTATGAAGGAAGGTAATTACAAGAACACTCACGGTCAGCAAACAGGACACTACGTATGAACCAATAGACTTCGCCACCCCGCACGTCACGTGGTCCCACGAGTCTTGGCGGAAAGTTGCTGTGGGACAAGTCACGTGTGTCCCACAGGGTCCTACGAGATCCCACGATATCCCATCTATGAAACCCTATGGGACATATGGGAACTATGGGACAAAATATGTATATAGTCAGTAGACAAGAAGACCTTATGGTTCTTGTATTCACTCTAAGTTACAACCCACTTCTTGGAAATACAATCTAGTTGTTACTTTATACTTCTACCTTTGTTACTTCAGTGTTACCCGCTAGTCATCCGCGAAACCCAACCAGAGTTCTCCAAGATCTCAACAATAGCGTAGCTTAGTAACGAGCTTTATAAGTTCTTCTATTAGTAAACATATTGTTTGCTAATTGTTACATTGTATTGTAATTACCTTTAGTAGTTTAATTTTTAGTTCTAGCATAAGCCTTTTAATATACATTAATTCTTTAGCTACTTAAGTAAAAGTAAGTAACTTAGCTTTAGTTATTAATGTAGTAACAGTGTCTTGTTTGTTTGCCTTCTACGCAATAAGTCCCCTAAATAGCTTAATTGCGTATCTTTAAAAACTTCTTTTATTTATTATATTGTTAGTAAATAAGGCATTACTTACTACTTTAAATCTATCTTTTTCTTTTATCTAAAGTGTAATTTTCTAAGTTTTATAGAAGTAAAGGAGCACCCTATTAGCAGCTTAATAGTGCTCTAATAATAGGTTTACAAGAAAATAAGCAAGTTGTAATACTGCAAATAATATATCTAGTTGTATAGTTATAGCTGCAAACAGCAGAGATCTAATTTTTTATTAGTATTAATTAATTTTAGAGGGCGTTGCTAGTTTGTTATAAAGTTTAAGCTTAATTTTACTTATAAGTGTGTTGTGCTAGACCCTTTTATTGTCTACTAACTTATTAATTTTATTAATATACACTTTTTGTAATAAGTAGATAGTTTTCTTCTCTTTATTACAAATAATCTCTATGCTAAGAAACTACTGTAGGTCTTTTCCTCTAGTTATAGTAAAGCACTGTTGTAGTTGTTTTATAGTATATTAATATTTTTTTTCTTTAGCTAGGTTGTAGGCAAAAATAATATTATTAATATAAAAGAAGATAAACACTTTGTTTTTTACTATGCAGCAAAGCTTATGTAAAATTATAGTAAACTTTTATAATTATATAGTTATTGTAAACTTCTGTTGCTATAATAAAGGTAAAATGCAGAGTCTATATAGTGCCTTTTAAACCTTTAAAAGCGTGCTAAGAAGTTAATACCTGCGTAGCATTTGCATATAGATATTTTAATTAATTATAGTATAAATAAATACATTAGTAACGTTATATTGTTTTAAGTTAAGATTGTATTTAGCTGCTAAGGCTATAAAGAGTTAAAAGAACCTACTTATAAGTGTAGCTATATATATGTTCTGCAATGTAATGTTTTGCTGTTAATTTCTTTAGACAACTAGTTAAGCTTTGCACTTAACTAGTTAATAATACTTATTAAGTTTATATATATAAACTTACATATAATTAAGAATTTGTTGCTCTAATTTTTGTATTAGAGACATAGAGACTTTAACCTATAATTTTATATTGCAATAGCTCTATAGGTAACTCTTCTCTGCCTTTTTAAACTAGAGTCCTATTAGGTAATTTTGTAGATCTTTAAATAATTTTAGAGGCTAAGAGAGGTCTTTAAGGTGTATCTTTACTCCTTAAAAAAGCATCTAGCATAGTTTTGCCTTATTAAAGGTCTTTCTATTATGTATAGTAATTAGCACTACTTAGGTGCTAGCTGTAAAAGCAGCACGCTATAGCACAGTTTTAGCAGTTAGTTTATTACTTAACTTTTCTAGTTTTAGCTTTTTAAAAAGCTAAGTAAGCAATGCTGCTAGAGGTAGTAGAGTATTTAGTAGAGTTAGGTAAGTACTAGTCTCTTAGTTCTTATACTATAATCTACTGTAATTTATAGTGCCTAAAAAATTGTAATATAATACTAAGTTATCTTATAGTAGTTTATTCTTATAAAACGTTTAAAGCTCTAGGTTTTGTCTTAGAGGTTGTAGAGCTACTATTCTAGCTTAAACCTTAATTTTCTTAGTTGTTTAGTAGAAAAGGCTCTTTTTAATATTGTTTTTCTTTCTGTTATAGGTTGTTTGTTTGTTAAAGACAACGTCTTAGGTGCTAATTGTTTTTCTAAGTAATTGTTAAATAAAAAGCAATAAATAGGTGTGCACCTGTGTACACTAGCTCTCTACTTAGGGTAAAAGGAAAAGAAGGGGGGTATAGCAAAGTTATAAGGTCTAAAGAGACAAACAATTAATTATTAATTTCTATTATAATAGTTATTACTATAAATTACTATAATATTTAATAATTAAGAGTCTTACTGCCTTTATTAATAAAGCAACCTTACTATTATAAATTAACTAAAAATGCCTGCTAATTTAGACGTCTCTAGGGTTACCCTAAAGAACCTAGATAACTATTAAGACTAGTTTAAAGCTGTATAAATCTATGCAATATTAAAAGCAGTGTAGCATATGTTTAATCTAGCTACTATAACTCTACTAAAAGTAAAACTAGCTAGACTGCTTCTAAACTTATTAGATGTGTTTAAAGACGCCTAAAGAAACATTTCTATATTAATTAGCTATCTCTTAGCTGCGCAGAGAGCTGCCTAGGCTCTAATAACTAACTAATAAAGACAAGACCTTAAAGATTAAAAAGTAGATAATAATAAATACTAGAAAGAGAGTACTGCAATCTAAGCAATAGTCTCTTATATATAAAACTTAGTAGATTAATTTATATACAGCTTATGCTGCTCTAATAATGTCTACAGTTAATAAATCTTTAGAATCTCTTTGCAGGTTAGCATTAATAATTAAAAAGCTATCTTATGCGCACAAAAAGAATACAAATAAATACTTAATAAAGTTAGAAAGAATACCTAATAGGACACCTAGCTCTTAGATTATAATAAAGTTGTAATAAGAGCTAAAGAAGTAGAATGCATAAAAGTCTTTAATATAGATGCTATATTAGATTAATTTACGCAGGCAATTAAACCCTTTAATATTAATTTTAATTTAGTATTTAAAATAAAAGTATTGTAAACTTTAACAATAACTTAGCAGGCAGCTATAAAGCTGTTCTAAACTTATATAAAGCGTAACTATCTAGTAATATATACTAAGTCTGCATTTACAGCAGAAGTCTTAAATTAAACTAAAAAGAACGCCTTTTACGCTAATAAGACTCTAGCGCCTTAAAAGAATACTAGTAAAGGTATACTTACTTAGCTTATAAAGAGAAAATAAACTTCTACTAAAAAGTATAAAAGTAAGTAGAAGTTTCCTGCTAGCAGCAATAGTAAATGCTCTGCTTGCTATATAAAATATTAACTCTTAGAGTGCTTCTACGCAAACTTTAACAAAGCTTCTAAATAGTTTACACCTAATTAAGAACTAGCAAAATTAGTTTAGTTTAAAATAGAACATAATCTTGCACTACATAATAAAATAAGAGGAACTAAACAAGAAAGATTTACTAGCTTAAGGTCTACAGGTAACACCTAAATTAAAACATTACAAACCTCTATCCTATAAGTTAAAAAAATAGAGAATTAACTTAAAGACAAGAAAATAGCTTAAGTTAGCAGCGTATTTGCTGTCTACAAAGATTGTTACTCTAGCTATCTGTTAAGCAAATTATTTCTTCTAGATTTAAAAGCAACGCTACACATTACAAATAATGCGTTAAACTTTTAATATTTATAAGCAGCCTTATAAAGAGACTATATTTAAACTAAAAGTAACATAATACCTATACATGCATACAAAACAGCTGTACTTTGCTTTAAGACTATAACACTAGTATTAAAAGAAGTAGCCTAGTGCCTAGAAATAGTTACTAGCCTAGTGTTTCTATAACTACTTTTCTGCTAGGGCATGCACTAGAATACTAAAACAGAGCTAATAAAGCTATATTAAAGTAATAACACTGTAATAACTAAATTACAACTTTACTATAAACAATTTGTTCTACTTACAATAAAATACACTATAAATTATAGCGCTAGAGCATTCTCTATATATAAAATAAGAAAACTATAGCTAGCAGACGCAACTACGTAGCACTAATACTTAGAATACTTAGAACCTAGTGCCCTAGAACACACAGTAAATTAAACTAAAGAAGTAAAAATTATAGGCCTTACTACAGTTTACTGTAATGCTTGTAGGTAATTAAAGGCTAAAAAGAGAATCTAGCATATACTAAGAATTAATAATAAAGGACCTAGAGAAAGAGTAGCTATTAATTTTTACCTATTTAAGAATAGTAAAGAAACAGACGTCTAAAGCACAATGCTTATTACTAATTAATACTTAGAACTTATATAGGACTATTATCTAACTAATTAAACTAGAGAAACTTTACTTTACATACTTAAACAGTTTGTAACGTTCTTAGAACGCTAGTTTAAAGTAAAACTTAAGGTTATTAAAAGTAATAATAAGATATTCTACTATAATAAAAAAACTATTAGTTATAAGTAGTGCAACGCGCAAGAGATTAAATTAGAGCTTTCTGCTTTTAATACCTAAGTACAAAATAGCGGAGCAGAACGCTTAGAGGCAGTTATTAAGGAGAAAGCGCGCGTAAACTAACTTAGTGCTAAACTTCTTTAGGATTTATAGCTAGAAGTTGTAGCTGCTACTGTCTACCTCTATAATAGGACGCTAAATTATTAAAACAAATACAAATTACTGTATAAGATGTTCTATACTAGAGTAGGTTACTAAAACAGAACTGCTATAGGCCCTTAAAAACTAAATCTCTCTTATATTTAAGTATATAGCTATAAAGCTTTTGCCATAACAGACAACACGCAATTAGAAAAATATAAACTTTAACGTCTTAATCTAAAAGCTTAGGTTACCTACCTAGTTAGCTATTAATCTACAAACATCTACTGCATATAGATACTATTACTTAGAAAAATAATTAGTACCTAAGATGTTATCTTTAACAAATAAACAACCTATAACAAAAAGAAGGACAATATTAAAGAGAGCCTTCTCTACTAAACAACTAAA